CACACACACACACACACACACACACACACACACACACACACACACACACACACACACACACACACACACACACCTGCACAAAGAAAACTTGCCCACTTTTCTCAATGGCAGGCTCAAAGTGTTAGTGAAAATAAACCTAATGCACACAGACATGTTTTAGGGCAGATTTGCACGACCAGCATGTTCTGGTAGCTGCACACACCAGGACTTATTTTTCATTTTGGCCCCTAAACAAGTTGAAACTGACTAAAACACTTCTAGTTCTGTATATGTGGGGTAGTGTTTTGTTTTAACTTGTGCTCTGTTTGCACTCAGAAGTTAGAATCTTTACTTTCCAATTGGGAGAAAAACACCTGAAATCAAAACTCCAACCCAAGCTGACATTAACTCAGCTGCAGTAACAAAGTTTGAATTATTATTTCAGTCACTTTTCATCGCAGTAAATCAGCTGTGTTGTACGATCTCTGTTAGTATACCTGTTGCTACAGTGTTCATTTTATTAGCAAGTATTGCTAACAACAGTTAGCACAAATCCTGCTGGTTTTACAACTTGTAGGTTGGGTCTGATGTCTCAGATCTGAGCTTTAACGTTGAAACTAACTGGAACAAACTATCAGTGATCAGAAGACGAGCTTTACTTTAGGTTTACTGGGAACTAAAGAAAAGAAAGTTTAGTTTAGTTAAAACTTTGACAATAAATTCAAACAAAAGTGCATTAGCCTATACATGAATAAGTTAAAAGCTACGTGTACAACTTTAATGGATTCAAAAGCTACTAAAATGTGACTTTTAGTATTCAAAACCTCAYGATCCAGTCCCTGGATGTTTCAGTCCTCATGAGCTGGTCCGAACCAGTCCTCCTCTTCTACCTCAGCTTACAAATGTTCCTTAGCTCCTCCTTCTGAAAACTCATCACCAACACGAAACAACACACAGTTGCTCATGATGTCCTGAGGTTTCATTTTATCACGACTTTTCCTTCTCTTCATGTCTTCATGCCTTCTGTCTGTCCTTTCTTGGAGTATCGGTTTGTTTGACTTGTGCACAAAGGTCATGACTGACACCAAGAAAAACATACACAACATCTTAAAACTTAAACACCAAAAACTGCTCAAAAGACATTTAAATTAAACAATTTATGAATCGTGGCAAAACACTCCACTTCGACCRTCTAAGATAACTGTAATATCTAGAAACTATTAAATTATGACTGTTTGTCCACCTGTCAGATTAAATATCTTCTAATGGTGAGAACAGCAGAGCTGTTTTAGTCAAACTTTACAAATTGCACTCTGTTCAGTTTAATATTATGTTACATTACATATGCGTGTGAATGAATCTCAACAATCTGTAAACCACAGAACAGACCTCAGCATYATGTGGAGCTCAGTTTTAGCTAATGACGAGCAGCCGCTAAAACTTGCACGAGTTTATTTTGTTTGTAACAACAAAAAGCATTTAGAGTCTTTCGCAGAACTTAAAGTAACACATTTAACATTTTAATGAAATTTAAAGTGAAGCTAAAGTTTAGAAATTTAATTTTAAAATGAGTTTTTTGGCACAATTATCTCAGCATGGTAGGACTAAGTCTGTTCATTTAATTCAGTATTTTATGAAGCAAACTAACCACCATCAAATTTAAGAAAAACTTTGCAGAAAACTGTATGAATGTGTTAAAT